GAATAAAAGTGTCAGCTAAATGAATTCATGTAAAGTACAACAACAGCTGGAATAAAGTAACGGACACATATTTTCAGAACTCACCAGGTAGTTCAACATCCTCGCTTTCTTTTCTCCAAGTAAATTCCAGTTTTGATATAATTATAAGTAATAGTCCAACAGGGAAGCTTCCTTCTGAGAAGCTCGAGTGAAGATAAATCAACGTTGTAATAATAATAATACATTTTATTTATAGGCGCATTTCAGAACACTCATGGTCACCTAACAAAACATGAAAATAAAATCAGGGTACATAAACAACTGGAAACAAAAGATTGCTGTGCCCAGATAAACAGTGATTGTGTTAGATATAGATGTGTTTTCAGGTGGGATTTCAAAAGAGCAGAGTCTTGAAATCAATGCGGTATTTAACTGGGAGCCAATGAAGCTGCTGAAGGACAGGAGTGATATGATTACTATAGGGTGTTCTGGTGATGATACGGGCTGCAGAGTTCTGAACCAGTTGAAGTTAATGTATGAATTTGAGAGTGAGACCAAAGAGAGGAGAATAACTATAATCAATGCAGGATGTAACAAGTGTGTGAACAAGAATGGCTGTACTAGTGGGTGAGAGAGACGGACAGAGGCGATTAATGTTTCCAGGGATCTAATGGGACTGAAATTCAGCCTTTTATGCGAAAAGATTACAAACCTGGTATTGTTTATACAAACTTCCTCAGTTTGTATAAACAAGGCACCACTGCACTGAACAAGACCAGGTCAGGCAAGCCTGAGTCATTCACAGTGCTAAAATACTCAAATATAATCAAAACAATGCAGTCCCATAAAAAAGAGCAGTGTGTGTGCATAAAAATCAAATCCCTCATCTTCAGCTCTGAGAAGGCCTATCTCTGGCTCAGATTCCTTTATGCTGAATCCCACTCTGTTTGTATTGATTGTCCAGCTACATATGTACAAGAACATCAGTAATAAATATAACTAACAATAATTCACCTCTAACATGCACTTCCTGTGCTCTTCTTCTTCTATCCCCTACAATGATCTTGTTTTGATTGCACTTTCTGTTAACTCTTACTTCCTTCCCTAGGTATCTACCCCATTGATGTGATATGTACTGTGAGCTCTTACTAGTATTTATTGCTGCTCTTACTAGTATGTATTGTCAGTTGTAGATCTGTAGTTGATGCTCTGTTGATGCTTGTATGTTGTTCCTCAAATGTAAGTTGCTTTGGATAAAAGCGTCTGCCAAATGAGTGAATGTAAATGTAATCCATTTTCTAATTCTATCTATGCATAATATGAATGCCTACCCATCCCTGCACACTGTCTCTGTACCTGTCACTGTTTTGTCTGGTTCCATTGACCTCCTCCTCCTGCTGCTCCTCCTTGTCTTGCAGCTCCTCCCGATCCTCCTGTTCCTGTTCTTTCCCTCCTCATCAACATGACTCTGGTCATTATCACCCTCTCTGTCTGCATCACCTCCACTGACCTTAACAGCTAATATACATACAAAGAGATTCCTCACTTACAGAACAATGTTGTCAATGTGTGATAACACATTGCTGTTTATCATATATATAATATAGCCCATATGACTATACATAAATGCATATAAATCATTTAGGTAATAAATGCATTACTTATCGTGCACCTGTCTCTGTACTGGGTCTTGCCTCACCTGTGCTGCCACAGCACCTTTCACCAAGGAAGAGGTTGGCTAATTTGGCGCATTTAGCTGCCTCTTGTGCCAACAATTTTTCTCCTTAATTCTTAGTTTTTCGGCACCTCACATTTCTTTTTCCGCTTTCTTTGTTTTGGACATACCGAGTTCAGCCCCTACAAAACGTTTTGAGATTGAACTCGTCTAAGATGGAAAGTGAACTCCTTTGATCGGCGATAATTTTGCACGCCCAATTTTTCAGTTTTTTATTTGTTAAAAAGTTTGAAATATCCAATAACTTTCGTTCCACTTCATGATTGTGTCCCACTTGTTGTTGGTTCTTCACAAAAAATTAGTTTTATATCTTTATGTTTGAAGCCTGCAATGTGGCAAAAGGTCGAAAAGTTCAAGGGGGCCGAATACTTTCGCAAGGCACTGTATATAAATATATATATATATTACATGCCTCTTTATTGTTTATGTGTAAAGAGTAAGAATGGGAGAGCAGTATATATATTGCTGTGTGATTATAGAGCATGGGAGAACAGTGGATACTTTTATTACTGCCCACACCTGGTATTACTGTGTAGCAGGATAACTTCTTTCCCTAGGTATTTACCCCATTGTTGTCATATGTGCTATTAGCTCATGCTTGTATGTTGTTCCTCAAATGTAAGTCGCTTTGGATAAAAGCATCTGCCAAATGAGTAAATGTAAATAAATTTTTTTTCCACTGTCTGCATACCCTATTCGTCTTAAGAATGAAAATAAATACTACGCTCGTCTGTACCCCATTTAACATTTGAGATTAGCTATGTTTGATCCACCTTTATGTGACATATTATATTACTGTTGTAGTGTTCTTAGCCCCCCCCCTTAGCGCCTCGTCACGCTGCTGACATTTTTACCATATTCTAAAAATGCGGCGTTCCCATTGTAATGAATTTAAAAAGACGCTGGCATCATAAAAGTCCACATGGTGGACACGGGCCTTATGGTATGAGGACTGGTTGGGTTTAATGCATTGGAATGCAGAAACCGGTGTGAATTAATTGTAGCAAAACTACTTACTGATAAAAAAGTTATGAATAATATTTGGAAATATTATTTTTGCACTCGTAAAAACTCGTTTTGGGGCACCACCTAAAATTTGCTGTCTGCCCAAGGCTTTAGGACTCCTTGGGTATAGCTTTAAAAATTAGTAGTGCTGGGCAACTATTAAAATTTTTAATCACGATTAATCGCATTGTTACGCACAAAATTGAATAATGAATTCTAAAGTGGTGTATTGCACACTTTTGATTTAAATGTACTGCTATATACACAAAAGTGCAATAACATGTGGTTTGCAAACACATTTACCAGCAGTATTCCCTTTACACAGTAGCAATAAAATATTTCTTGTAACTTAAACATTAATGTAATCAAATCAAATATTAAACCAAAGCTATTTGCCACTGCCAGGGAATTACCTTTTATCCATCTTGTTAAAACAAGTTACCATCAGAGTCCAGTTTTCTCTGGATTTTTTCTGAGCAGGTATCAGCAGAAACATTTTTCTTTTATCAGGGAGCAGCAGAAACAGTCTATGTTCAGTAGCAACAAGTACATGCACTATACACTTAACATCTATACTAGTCACTAGACACTCAGAATCTATACTATTCACTACAAAATACCATGCAGTGTCGAAGTTGAGTACAAACACCACTACAGAATGTCACCCAGTGCAGTCTCACCACAGAAAGGGATGCAGTGTGCTGACACCCTTGTACAGAGTCAAGCTGTGGATATACAGAGAGAGGAGAGCAACCTGTGTTTAAACCACCATCCAAACTATGAACCCCAGTAGATGGACAGTATGGAACATCAATTCCAATTACAGTGGGGCACTAAACCGACAACAGACATCTTAACACTGGACTGGAAAATAAGAAACAAAAGATAAAACAATAGAAAACAGGGGCTGGCCTGGTCCGCCTTTAAAAACAAACAAACAACGGACATTAGTTGCAAGTTCAAAAGTTACATTGCCTTGCACGTAATTAACAGAAGAATAAAATATAAGCCTACTTTGCAGGGTTACACAAAGTCCTGTAGCACAGTAGCCACGTCAGCTGTAGTCATCAATTTTCTAATTTTCTTTCTTAGTTAATAATTGCCAATCATTTTGAATCAGTTTAATAATCAGTCATTCTCATATCAAAGTTGTGAATCCTCCGTCCAGTGCCTCTGATTTAAACCATACACAGAATGTAGTTTGTTCTGGCCTTACTGCACGTGTTGGTGTCCTCAGTGTTACAGCTAGCGTAACTAACCCAAGTGGCTGGGTCCGAGCTTTGGTGGGAGCAGCAGAAGTTAATTCGACTGATATAACGCTTAAAAAGGGAACTTGGTTGTACCTGGATTCAAAGTTGCGTGGCTTAAACGGTCTGATAACTCTTAACAAACAAAACACAAAAAAGTAAATTCAACAAAGGCTCGCATGAATATGGCTACGTTGCTGGAAGACAAAGAAAATTTGATGGACAATGCCAATGTTTTTGTTGCCTGGGGCGTGTTCGAAGGGGGAGGGCTTTGTTTCCCCGGAGACTTCTGTGTCTTAATTTAATAAGTTCTTAAAGTCTACTACCTTAATACCTTTCCATAATCAACTCTTCAAGTTCTTAATTTTAAGCATCTGATAAAAGGAAAAGGAAAGTTATTGTTAATCGTCCATACAGTTATGATAGTTACCAGTTAAAAATATTTCATAGGAGCATCTTAACTAAACTTAACTTCCAGGTGAATACTGATTGTTAAACATTCTTACTTAGAAAATTTATAAGAAAGTTAGAAGGACATGGCATCAGATTACAAACAATAAAACACAGAGTAATTTAAGTTAAGGAGAGGCAGTATAGAGTTTCATGACCCCTGTCCGAAGAGGTCCTGATAGTCTAGTTCAGGATGAGGTTAGTCTCTGGACAAGGTTAATATTGTCATTTTGATACTCATGCATAGATTCTGTGATCTCAACTTCACCGGAGGTGGTCGGTTTTATGGTCCAAGAGAGGAAGAGACAAAGAGAGATTCTGGATTAACCATTTTTGATATAAAATAATTAACACCAACACTGGCTGGTTCACTACATAATTAATAGTAAGTTGACAAGTTCTGAGAAATCCACACCGGTTGGGTTGCTTGTATCAGTGGAACAGAAGGAGACAAAGAGAAGTAATTAAAATGTTTTTCCTCTCAGCTTTAACAATGAAGAGAGTTATTATTACTCGTACTGTAGCATTCCTGCACAATTTTTTTGCCTTTGTTTTCAGTCTGATGTCATCTCGAACATGCTTATATAAAGGACCTGAAATAAGAAAGATCACAGCTTCATTCACAGCAGTGAACAACATTTACACAGAGAATATTACATAAGAGAATAACATGTAAGTACTACTTATATTACTTTACTATAAAGCAATGTAATTTGCTTGTTTTTGCAAGAATTTAAATTCTCATGTAGAGTACTATATCTTTAGATAATGTATTTTAGAAATGTTTGACGCCAGGCGTAATAACTTCACTTTTGTCTGAGTTTAACATCAGAAAATTGCAGGTCATCCAGGTTTTTATGTCCTCAAGGCAAGTTTGATGTTTAGCTGGTTTAGAAGTTTTCACACAATTTTATATGAAGCACTGAGCCACATCGAATGTATGAAAAGTGCTATACAAATACAGTTTACCCAGTGCTTGAAGTGGAAACAAATAGGTGCCTGTACCCACCCCCTTTGAAAAAGTGATGGAGACATTCTGATTCTGACCTTTCCTCAGTGTCATCAGTGTAAGTGACACCATCTGTCAAAACTTTTAAATGTCCCACCCCATCCAGGCTGTGATTGGTCGATTCACGACAAGTGACATTGACGAGCTATATTCAGCATACTGCTACTTGAAAGGCACCCAAGCTTCTCTTCTCCCTCATCTCTTTCCGCCGACAGAGTTTAGCAGGCAAGCGAGAACGTGAACAGGTGAGCGTCACGTAGCGCCCAGAGAACCTGATATGGAGAGGGCAGAGGAGAGTACCGGCAGCTTGGGAGAAGTCCCGGTATGCAAGAAAATGGCCCGGTAGGCTGTGCCAAAGAGTAAAATGTTGAGGTGCCAGTACTGCGTACCACTTCAAGCACTGAGTTTACCATAATACTATAGTATTATTATTTAAACTTTCATTTAAAAAATGACTTTTTATTTATCAAAAAATGCAAATACTTCTGAGAAATTTGTCGGGACAGTAAGTGAACCTTGTAGGGTGTAGACTGTTCTAAAATTAAAAATACATTTATAATATTGTAAAAGGTAAGATAAATGGTTCAACAAACATACAAGTACAGGTGTAAACAATTTTAGTTAGTGTTGACAATATTTCTGAAGTTATCAGAAAGCTGCTGTAGATACCTTTTTGTAGTGATATTTGGTCAGCCAAAGAAGAAATTACATAGTCAATAGTCATTCCTCAACTGTTATCTAGCAGGGCAGAACCAGAGAGGTTGGAGGCGTTTTAATTGTTGTGTTTCTTTTATGTACTGGTTCAGAAGCTTTAAGGTTTTATTTATTTATTTATTTTATTTGGCAGTTCAGTGAAAGACAGGTGTGCTGAAAATATGAGCAAACAATTTAATACAGCTTTCACTCCTCTGTTTAAAATGCAAATAACCATTTCCAGCTTTTCATTTACTTGCTGAAAATCACAAATTTTATTTTTCAGTGAGCACAGAGGAGAAACTATCACTGCATCACCATGATTGCAAAGATTTGTGTCGTCCTTGTTCTGTTTGTTGGTAAGAGAAACAAATAAACATCTAAACTTGCCTCATCTTGCCTAAAATCAGTTTGGAATGTGAGACTTAATGTAAATCTGATTTGACATTTACCGCTCAAAACAGCCTCTGGCAACGCACAGACCACAACCAGAACCACCACGGCTGCACCAACCACATTCGCAGCCACTACTACAGTAGCAACCAGAGCCGCAGCCACTACTACAGCAGAAACCACATCCACAGCCGCTACTGCAGCAACAACCAGAGCCGCAGCCACTACTACAGTAGCAACCACATCCACAGCTGCTACTGCAGCAACAACCAGAGCCGCAGCCACTACTACAGCAGAAACCACATCCACAGCCGCTACTGCAGCAACAACCAGAGCCGCAGCCACTACTACAGCAGAAACCACATCCGCAGCCGCTACTGCACCAACAACCTCATCCGCACCCACTACTGCACCAACAACCAGAGCCGCAGCCACTAATACAGTAGCAACCACATCCGCACCCACTACTGCACCAACAACCTCATCCGCACCCACTACTGCACCAACAACCAGAGCCGCAGCCACTACTACAGTAGCAACCACATCCGCAGCCGCTACTGCACCAACAACCTCATCCGCACCCACTACTGCACCAACAACCAGAGCCGCAGCCACTAATACAGTAGCAACCACATCCGCAACCACTACTGAAGCAACAACTACAACCAGCACGGCTGGTTGTGATACCAGCACGGCTGGACCACCACCAACTACAACCAGCACGGCTGGTTGTGATACCAGCACGGCTAGGCCAACATGTAGCGTGGAGTGTGTTTGTAAATGTTAATCTCTGATATGTCATCACATGTGTCCCTGATGGAAATAATCAAACTGTCTCTGGACTCTGTAATGTTCTGGTTCAGAGGATTGCGAGTGAATCTGCTTTTTGTCTGTAATTACATAAAAAAGATGATCTACAATAAAGGTTTACCAAAGTTATTCTTTAAAGTTTAGCAAATTACTTGCTAAAGACCTTTGGTAGATATTGTAGTCTTTCTTGATAAGCTGATAAATAAAACATCTATTTACATTTATTACATTTATGTCATGTTATGTAACATAATGTCTGGTATGCCTGTTGCAGGGACTTGTTGCCTGTTGCTGGAAAACTGCCAATGTTGTTTTGGGAGTCATTGGCACTCGACCTGTCTGTTTTTTAGGTATGAGCAGGGGCAGACTGAGATAATAATTAAGGCCAGGAGTCTAACAACAGTCCAGACTAATCTCCACTTTCACAATAGACCAAGTATACTGTAAGCATTTGGTTGAAATATTTTCTGTTTATGAAATGTAACATGGATTTTACTTTCAGTTTAAAAAGCACAAATAGCTAAAACAATTCAAGCTCACTTTCAAGAGTAAGTCAAGTGCACTTCCACTTGCATGCACCAAGAGAGTGAGACGTGTCTGAGGCTCTCCTTCTTAATATTAAATAAAACAGCTCACTATGGTATAGTTGGTCAAGTTGGAATGGCAGGCCAAAATAGCGCTCAAGCCACCAAGAAATCTTCTGGTGCTTCCGACAGCCAGTCCAATAGTGGGTATGAGGTCAGGTTGGGTTTAACAAAATGGAAATGTATAACTGATAACTGCGAATCAACTCCACCCAGCTGATGCTGATAAAACTAAAGTGCAACCTTGCTGTGTCTGGGACTGTGAGCTGCACTTTATTGGAGCTGCTGAAGTTAACATGGGTGAATTTGTGGTGAGATTTCATCATCCAGTAACGTTCCAGTCCCAAACGGGGTTCTGTGTCTGCCAGATGGTCTCAAGGGGATCCTACCAGCGGAGCAACAACATAATGCACAGCCAACTGTAGGGCAGATAGACTTTTAAAAAATATCATGAACTCCATTTAATGAGGATGTCAGTCTTGTAATATTATGACTTTTTTCTCACCATGTCAGAGAACAAACATGTTTTGAACATGAACAGAAAACCTGTTGAAGCAGAGCTTTTAAAGTCCTGGAGTTTATAAATAAATGTATTAATCATTGAGGTGAAAAGGTGCCACAATCATGTTTAAAGCAAAAGAGGTGGGAATAATAAACCATGAAATAAAGAAATACAGAATGCTTGAAAGCCTTGTATAGGCTACTACATTATATTCTGTTATTTTATATTTTGACCACCTACTGTATGAATTTTGCGTTTCCTAGTAACCGGTTAGGTTTGCTCTCCCAATTTAGGCTATAATGTCTGAAGGTTCTCATCCACACTGGTTGGGTTGATCAGTGGAACAAAAGCAGAGAGAGGAATTAAAATGTTTTCGCTCTCACCTGTTACCATTAATAAAGTAACCGTTCCTGCGCATATTTATCTTGCCTTTGCTTTCAGTCAGGTGTAGTTTTTAACACACCTTAACACAGATTTAATTTAGATCCCAGAAAGTAGGGTAGCAGTCTGTAGAGTTGCATGGTGTAGAGCAACAGCCACTTAGTGGAGTTACCAGAGGCCCCAAACAGTGAGGAGGCCACAACCGACCAGCCTGTGTGACCAACGGCAGCACACCAGTCCTTGTCGTGTTGTTTCGTTTCGCCACACACAGGGAAACAAAGTTGAGCAGACCCAGCCACAAAGAGACTGATTCTTTTTTTAATTTAATTGACCCGGAGACTTTTAGCTTTCTTAGCTGCAGCCTTGTTTTAACTCTTTTTAAGCCATTTCCTTAAATACATGAATAAACTTGGAGGCTATATTTTGCGCAGACCACAGAGGGGTGTCACAATACTACATACATTAATTTAAAGATATTGTTCAATATTTGATGAACTATGCTTTTTTGCCTTTTTTAGAGAGCTAGACTAAAAGATACCACCTATCCGTTGCCTTAAGAATTGAGCTGAGACCAGGAGGCGACTAGCTTAGCTTAGCATAAGCTTAGCGGAGGAAATCAGCCTGCGCCTGTGGATCCCACTGACACCACAACTTCGCATTTCAGTTTTTACCTGTATGTTTGTGTACACATAAAACAAAGAAGGTGTATGGGTGAACTTTAGTGAAAGCCTAGTCAGCTGATTGATATACACGGCGAATAACTGTATTTCTGAAAAAACAAACAGATGCTAATTACTCAGGATTTCTCAGAATTGGAAACTTCATTTAATATGATTTCAGTTTTCTGATCATAGTGATATGATCATGAATTTTAGTTATACAACCAAATTGTAACATTACACTTTTATATTAGCGAAACAACTCATACTGATATAATACTCTTTGTCCCAAGGCAATACTACTACTTCTGCTGCCTGTACTGCAATGTTATCAAAAGTAATAGGCCTACTACTACCATACAATTCATGTAACTGTTACTCATATTACTTTTACTGCTGTTACTGCTTGAAGTACTATGGTTAATTACTACTATTACTTCTACCACTGGTATTACTACAACAGTCTACTGCTAATACTACTCTTTACAGTCCTGTGTTAGGTAAAAAATATTGATTATAATCAGTCGTATCCAGCGGTGCTACCAGTCAGTGGTGGATCATCAGTAGGAGAGAGTCAGTTATACTCACGTTGTTGCACTTCCAGTTTTTGAAGTGGAGCAGAGAAGACAGCAGCTCTCTACATATCACTGGTGGTAAATATTTTATCCACTTCCTTTTTGTCGAAATGCCGCACACAAACCAATAAAGTGCTTGGGAAGTGTGTGAGAGAAAGTACACTTCTGTCAGTAGTCTGCTCATTAATGCAGAAAGAAACAAACAAAAAGATGTTCGGCTTTATTAACGTACTGTTTGTTGGTTTGTTTGGTGCCGTATTGTAATCACAGCCAGCCCTCACCAGAAAAACTGCAAAGGTTGAATATTGAATGGCTAATTACAACCCATATTTAGACTTTTTGTTAGGCCACAACCTCTAGTGGCAGAGGCAGCCTGGTGTCACCATACAACGATTTCTTTTCTTTTGTGGTAGACCAGGGGGGCCTCCCCTCAGACAAAGCTTGGGAAAGGTGATTTAGGTGAATAATAAACCAGACTTTGACCCAAGAGACAGGCGTTCGGATGCCATTTGAAATAAAAATAAAACAAAAAGACTAGATTTATTTAGGTTGCGTAAGTTAAGTGACGCCATAATTGTAACCCAAACCATTTTGTTTTGAGTAGCATTTAGGTCCTTTCTGTTGCTGCGGTCTGTGGGGACTTAATGCCGTTAAATCACACGCGAAAAGCTTAAAATCTGTTGACATGGAATCCCATAATATCACATTGGCAGAGGAAGTCAGGGGACATAGTATGTAGTAAGTGTGACTAGGAGGGTGGGATGGATGGATTTGTCAAGTAAACTCAGGACTTTCACAAATGAGACCGACATTTGAGTCCTGTGTGGAAGAAAGTCAAAGCTGATATGTTTTAAAGGAGACCTACAGGAACATCTACAGCCTGTTCATACCATAAACTGTATGTAAGAAATGGACGTAGCCATCGTGACGTCACCCGTTGGTTTGTGGGCTGCCGTTTTGAAACCTTGAGTTTGGCTGATAGGGCGCCGCCATGTGGAGTTTTTGCAACAATGGTCTGTAAGAAGGGCCAGTATAGGATAGAAAATTATGAACTTTGAATCATGCCAAGTTAACATACATGCAGAATAATAGGTCACCTTTAAAAGAGATGTATTGCGCATTTCTTTTCTTTCAAAGAAATTGTTTGAACATTTTGGGGTCTTAAAGTATTTTGTTGAGGTCTTAAAAGGTCTGAATTTGACTGAAAGTTGCAAGAACCCTGTTATACAATGTGTCTGAGAGTGGCATGGTGGGGTTACAACACCGCTTCTGGCCAAACATGTTTATATAAAACAAGACACGTAACATAAGGTCTGGCACGCCTGTCACTGGAACTTTTTAAATGCCAGTTTTGTTTAAGGATTTACTGGCAATCAACCTATCTGTCTTTATGGTATGAGGACAGGTTGGGTTTAATGCACTGGAATGCAGACACTGGTGTGAATGAATTAAATGTAAAATGACAAATTCTGAGAAATCCACACCGGTTGGGTGGAACATGAGTAGAGAAACATGTTTTTGTTCACCTTTAACAATGAAGAAAGTTATTATTACTCGGTACCGAGTTATTATTAGTACTGTTTAGTAAGTTTAGTTAGATTAGAAGTTTTAACACAATTTTATATGAAACACTGAGCCACATCGAATGTATGAAAAGTGCTATACAAATACAGTTTGCCATAATACTATAGTATTATTATTTAAACACAACTTTTTATTTATCAAAAAATGTAAATACTTTTGAGAAATCTGTCGGGATAGGAAGGGAACTTGTAGATTGTTTTAAAATAAAATACATTTATAATATTGTAAAAGGTAAGTTACATGTTTCAACACACATTGAAATACAAGTACAGGTGTTCACAGCTATTATAACTTTAGTTTATCTTGTAAACAATTTAATTTGTGTTCAGAGCATTCAAATTATTATAAAGTTATCGAAAGCTGCTGCAGATACCTTTTTGTAAAGATATTTGGCAATAAATTAAATTAATAGTCAGCCAAAGAGGAAACGATAATAGTCATTCCTTAACTGTTATCTAGCAGGGCAGAACCAGGAGAGGTTGGAGACGTTTTATTTGTTGTGTTTCTTTTAATTACTGATTCAGAAGCTTTAAGGTTTTATTTTATTTGGTATTTCAGTGAAAGACAGGTGTGCCAAAAATATGAGCAAACAATTTAAGTCAATTTTTCCTCCTGTTTAAAATGCAAATAACCATTTTCAGCTTTTAATTTACTTTTTAAATTTACCAATTATATTTTTCAGTCACCACACAGGAGAAACTATCACTGCATCACCATGATTGCAAAGATTTGTGTCGTCCTTCTTCTGTTTGTTGGTAAGAGAAACTTTCATTCCAAATAAAGATCTAAACTTGCCTCGAGACTTAATGTAAATCTGATTTGACATTTTCCGCACAAAACAGCCTCTGGCAACGCACAGACCACAACCAGAACCACCACGGCTGCACCAACAACCAGAACCACCACGGCTGCACCAACAACCAGAACCACCACGGCTGC